AAACAAAGGGCTTCTAGGCCTTGCTTCCCCTATTGCATTTGTATTGCAGATAAGCCCTGCTGAAAAGATCATAGCTTAATTGCTGGGGAAATAAGTATCAAGACTAGGTTGTGAATTATTTAAACTGCTGTGAATTGTAGCAGAAATAATGTATAGTGATGAATCTTGCCTATGTCAGCTTAATCCAAACTTCTGCTTGTTGAGGTTCAGGCTGTTTTGCTTTCCAAGACACTGTAATGGAATGACGTAGTTGAAGACTGCGCTCTTAAGTTCAAACCTTAGSTGGCAGGGCAGACTGGTTGTAATGCCACCTCTAAGATGGTTTGGTTGTGCTTTTGAATTTTGTCTCTGGGGAGTGTTTAGTATTCTGATGAATTTTGGTTAGTTAGTATGCAGGTGTATATGTTTGAAGTCTTAAAAACAGTCTCGTTTCAATGCTAAATAATTTCACAGAGCCACATTTCCGAACTAGATGAAGGCCACRTGCTAGAAGTGGAATGCATCCTCTGCAAGGGGACAGTCACCCACAATGACCTGATGTTCTCCAGGGTGAGAATGTGCACACAACCAGTTTCCTWGCAGCAGCTGCCATGCAGTATCTTCATTCATGGCTTACCCAAGGCAAATGACTTACCTTCCTGTGCCTAGAGTTAAACTATTGCATGCACTTAGCTTAGCATCACATTGTTTTGTGGCCAGACTGGCCTGTCTGCGTGGCACAGGAGCACAGACAGTATTCCCTTGCTCTGCAGACTGGGGCTGGTTGTGTTGGCAGGGCTGTAAGTTCCAAAATAAGRTGTCTTTTGCTTCAGGTTGCCAGAGGTGTACTCAATACATAGCAGTGGGACACAACACAGCAGGTTAGGTTCATACTCTTTGTGCTGTTGTGTTTCTTTGGTCCCTTCAGCTTTCCAGGTAGCTCTGATGCCCCAGGCTGTGGTGTTTTAGCAGCTGCAGGCTAGTACTGTTGGTGGAAGTGATGGGCTGCTGCTGACCCTGAATTCTTGCACCTATGAACCCATCCTTCCCTGGTTTTGTAAATACATCTAAATACATGAGGCTTGAAGTCTCTGTACGAAGGAAAGTTAAAAGAACCTGTGAGGGCATTGGTACATTGTTCCTTCTCAGAAGGAGTATGCTGGTATTTGGCAAGCTAGTTTAGAAAAATAAAGCCACCTAAATCTCCTCCCTAATYCTTGTGCAGTCTCCATCTGTGTGCTGAGGCTTTCAAGACCAGGCCAGGTAGCACATTGAGATGGCTCTTTGTGCAGAAAGTCAGACCAGGGACCTTGAAGGATTCTTTTCAGCATGAATTTTCATCCCATTTGTGTGGCTGATGTCACRTGTCCATGTGCACATGGATGTTCCAGTTCTGGTAATAACATCATCTCAGAGCATTGGAACTATATGATATGAATGTCTTCCCTTGGCAAGGACTGACTGAGGTGAAAATTTAAAATAAAATAAATAAAATTTATTTATTTTAAAATAAATAAAATTTCCCCCTTCAGATTTCCATAAATGAGAGCAGTGCATTTCAACTTTAGGAAGAGATTAGTTCAGTGATACRTCTTACAAACGTTATGGATTTGTGGTTTTTTTTTCTGACAAACAATGCATCTTAGATCTGGGAGCAGGGAAGAAGGGGCAAAGATTATAGGAAGGTGAAGAACCAGAGRTGAATGACTGGGACTACTAGACAAGGTGAATGGAAGCCTTGTCTTTATGCAGGAAACAAAAACAGCATTTGCATATGTTAAAAGTTACTTCCTCTGGACTGGGTAGAATTGGTTCTTTTAAAGATGGATAATCTGGAAACACGTCTCAAAATCTTGAGCCTGGGCCATACTCTATTAGAAAACTGTCTCCACTCTAAGAAAAACTACTTAGTATATATGTATGTATCTATTTAAATTAGGGCACCTGATTCATGCCAGGAAAATCTTAGTACAGATAAACTTTAAGTTGGTATTCTCTTACCACAACTGGTTGTGAAAAGTRCCCAAGTCCTTTTACCTTAACCAGCTAACAAGAAAGCATATARCTTTCTACATTACTGGGAAGCTAATTCTGTCTTAGCAATGGCTCCACTTTTCTTGCTAAACACTCTGTGGAAGTAGCATGCACTTTTGTGGCTTTCTGACACATTTTTGTTGAATTTAAATTGCCTGTTGCGCTGCAAGGTTTTTTCTGTGGTGATAACTGGAAGATGGACAAGAGTTAACAGAATTTATTGTCTCAGCACTGGAGGGCTTGTCAACCCTCCAGTCTTACCCAGGGTCTTTGGTAACTGGGTCTTTGTATTATGAGAACTGAGTAGTTGGTGGCTGCAAGAGTAGGGACCTTGTGTTGGTTTTCTTCTGTTCTTCCCGCTGTGTACTGGATTTGCAGTCTGCTTGCTCTAGTTTTTCTTCTCATTGCATTTGTGTGSTGGGGAAGAAAATAGCTCTGTTTGGATTCTGTTTGGATTCTGTAGAAGGTTTTGTACTCAAATGACATCAAATCAGTGCATGTGGTTTTAGAGAGAGCCATGACTAATGTCACATCATGGGGGTCATTTTTCCTTCCAGCCCTTTGCAAGTAGCGCAATGTAGCATTGTGTCTGTTTTAATACAYTCTATATTGCTGAATACTTCCTGTGGCAAGAACCGTTTTGGAAATGCTCATTCCCCTGTCTCTGATCAGCCCCATCTCTGTTTTTCTGACTTGCATGGATGGGCATGTTTGTTGTCAGTACCTGRTGCTGGCAAAGGCTGCTTGCTTTTCTCCCCCGTGTCAGAGCTTAGAGRCAGTGACTCCTTGCAGTGGGCTGTAAGCATGTATGTAAATGGCTTTTTATCAGCCTGTTCTCTCTGTGTGACATCTCCCACGATAAACACCCCCACACAGACTGTGTTAGGATGGCTCTTGCAATTTGATTAAATGCTGCTTGTATATGAATGTCAGTGGATTGTACTGGATTTTTTTTTTCAGGGCCCTCAGCCCTATTTTGCATTTAAGGGGATAGTGGCTCTGAAATGCAGACTTTTTAAAATTTATTTTCGTTTAAGGGGAATGACTGAAATTCAGAGGTGCATAACACTGAGACAGATGTAAGAAGAATATTGTAGGTTATTTGTTCCTGCTGTAGCGCTGGATACTTTTGGTTTGGTTTTTTTTCTGTAGAGAGAGTTGATGTGCTTTTTTTCCCTTCACTTGTTTCAAAGTGACAGAGTTGGAAAATGGAAGCATTGAAATAATAGGAAAACAACCCATGATATAAATACAGAGACTTCGTAGATGGACTAAAGACAAAATCTGTTATATCTGGATGCTGTACAAGGTGTTTGTCAGAAGAAAAAAAGAAAACACAGTTGGGCATTAGTTAAAATGAGAAAAATGATTGTCATCTCTGTCCCACACACCCTGTCAGAAGTAAATTCAGTCCTTCTGCTCTACCCTGATCTCTGTTTTCAGAGGTGAAAGGCATGAATGTGTATTCCTCCAAGATACAGATCTTTGAGGGAACACACTGCATACAGGAGCCACCAAGCTTGAACCGGTGAGGTATTCTCTCAACCCACTGAACTAACTGCTCATGTGTGGCTCAAATGTAAGACATGAGATAGGGGAAACTCCTAGCAGAGTAACCAAGGGGACAAAACAAATGTTGAACATTAGAAGTAAACAAAGCTAAGACTGCCYAGGAGCCTCAGGCTCCTCCAGCATGAGCGCCCAGACTGTGTCGTACATCATGGGGAAGCCTGGCTGCCCATTGCTGCCTCACAGCAGTTGGTTGCCAAGACTCCTGGAATGAGCAGAGCAGAGGGGCTGTGCCTCCTGCACTGTGGAAGTCCAGGGAAGCATGGCTGGTGCATGTGGTGGGTCCTCACAAATCCTTTGTCACATGCCGCAGCAGTTTAAATAACTTCACTGGAAAGCTGTCTGGAGAGCTGAACTCTATTCTTCTTTTGTCACCTCTGTGGATCTGTGCCAGGAATACTAGAATTTTGTATTTCATATTACATATTTGTCATTGTTATTAGGGAATGTTGTTATATATAAAATTTATTGGAAAGCATGTGCTGAACCTTTTGCAACTTGTGTTAGGCTATGGGGCATCAGTGCAGTTGTGATTGGTGAAAACCCAAGCTTTCAAGCCGTGGTATGTTGTAAAGATTCAGTGTGGCATAAGAACCTGTCCCAATCATAGTGAAATTGGTATGTGGATGTGTAGCTATCCAAATAGATTTAAGRTCATAAAGGATGTCATAGTGTGATGCCAGATGAGGGGCTGATAGTAGAAGTTTTTAATATAGGACCAGTAGCTGTGGGTCTTCAGTTAACATAGTCTGGTTTTGTTGGTTGTGTTGGATAATGATATGAGAATGAAGTTGAGTAGGACAATACCCAGGGTTTTTTCCTTTCTTTGAGAAGGGAATGATCTTGAGGTTAAGAGTCTCTTGTGCCTTGCCAAGAACTTGCTGTATGTCTGTGAGCAATCTGCATGTGCTCAGATTTTCCAAGAGAGGCCTCAGATTTTCCAACTTTGTTTCTGTATCATTTTCCAGTTAGGGTTTTTTTGTTGGTTGTTTTTTTCCCCCTCAACACTGCTGCTTATTGAAAGCTTCACTTGAAGTAGCAGATGCCTAGAAATTATCAATTTCAGTGCCAAGAATGGCACTGAATTGAAGCACCCAATATCTATCGCTGCCTTTGGAAATATGGGCCCTRATTTCTCTGTCTGCTCTTTCCTACCAGAGGAATTGTGTGTCCTGTCTTCATGAAATATTTGAAAGGCACTGTTAGGAGTGTGCAGTGGCACTGTGTGTTAGAGCAGCATGACAAAGATGCCTTGCATGTTTAGGAATCATTTTCCTGGGGGTAGTGTCCTGAAAGTCATCAAAACAGGAGGGGAACCCCCATGTGGAAAAACCTTCCTGTCAACTGGTAACTTAAAAATAATGTGACCATACTGCTGTTGTTAGGCTTCAGTTAAAGAAGATGTTGCCATTTTGCAGGTCTGTCTCTGGAGCGCTCAACCAACTCAATTGCCTCACGTGCTCGACTGTGTGAAAGGGARGAGGAAGTCATGGCTTGTTTTGAGAGAGCATGTGTTGTTGCCCAGGTGTACTTGCAAGAGCTTGAGAAGGTAAGAAGAAATGTGCTTAGGGTGTTGCCTGGTGGCCTGGGTGGAATTTCCAGGGTTTTGACAGCAAAAATAAAAAAAAAATGGGGAAATGTCAAGTGTTCATAGACAGGAAGGAGTATGAGAACAAGTTGGAAAGARTGAAGTGTCTCAGTAAAATAATTTCAAAACAGCAGTTTAGCTGTCTCTACATGTTTCCTCTTAGAATGAAGTCTGGAAACTAGTTTTGCCTGTGGTAAAGCACCAGATAGTTCAGATATGCAAAGGTTGTATCTCAAGTTTAGCCCCTACTAAAGAGGAACTTTGCATGGCAAGTGCTGGCATGARGGAACTTTTGCATACCTGCTGTGTAAATGATACACAGTAGTGGATATTCAGATTCCTAATGAGGCGAAAGAAACCCCTTTGGGCCAGCCACAGCAGTTTAATTGCCAGTGCTTCACCTTTTCCAAGTGAACCTTGAGGAGTCTAGGTCATTAGAACCTAGATCTTCCATTCCTGGTAGTGGTCATGGCTAGGCTGGATGGGGCTCAGAGCTACCTGGTATGATGGAAGGTATCCCTCCCCATGGCAGGGGGTTCAAGCTAGATCATCTTTYAAGGTCCCTTCTGATCCAAACCATTCCATGGTTAGTGGCAAGTAACTGTTTAGTGGTTGGTAGGATGATGAGTAAGATGAGTTGTGGGAGCCCTACACTGAGCCATGCAGATAATATGTGCCACTGATATGTGCCACTGGAACACTGCCACATGCAAACYTTGCCTAGCTGAGTTTACAGGACATGCCATGTGCTTCCATGCCCTTCCTGAACCACACATTACACCTGACATCAGCAGTACTGATGGCAATGCATGTTACCTGTCCTGTAACCATAAAGCCTTCGGCTTTTTGACCAGATACTTCTGCTYTTCTCAGTGGCAAAGGTGTGTTTCTGTTTCAGGTTTTGTTTTTAATTGCATTGAAACAAGAAAAAATGGGCTTAGTGCATGTATAAAAATTCATTAAGAAAGCCAACTAAAATGTGACCTGCTTTTGTTTTTCTGCAAAAAAAGGAGAACGGTTTTTAAATTTTAAACATGTTACTGTCCTTCCATTGTGGAAGGATGAGTGCTCATCAGTGCTGGACACTGTAAATTTTTTTACTGACAGCTTGGGTCTGCAAATAAGGGAAAGGATTTGACCTGTAATCCATTCACTTAGAACCATAGAATCAGTAAGGTTGGAAAAGACTGTSCCAGCCATTAATCCAGCACTACTATGCTCACCACTAAACCATGTTAGCACGTGCCTTGACCACCTGCTTTTTGAGTACTTCCAGGGATGGGGATTCCACTGCTTCCCTGGACAGCTTGTTCCAGTGCCTTRCCATTCTTGCAATGAATAAATTTTTCATTGTATCTTATCTAAATCTCGCYGGCACAACTTAAGGCCATTTCCTCTTGTCCTCTCACTTGTTACCTGGTAGGAGACCAACCCCCACCTCGCTACAACCTCCTTTCAACTAGTTGTCGTCTGGACACAGAGGCAAAAATGTAGGATTGCTGATAGACATTCTAAAAGTTCATAGTCCTTCTCCAGTCCTAAATGAAAATACTGTTTTGGAGAGGCCATTTTCAGCACTGGAAGCTGCTTGTTACCAGTAAGGACACTAAACCAAGAAAGATTTGATAGGAGAAATAGAGGAAAGGCTAGGATTCTTCCATCAGGACTCCTGATGGCTAGCTAACTCTTAAAAAAAAGTTTATATTATATTAAACTAGATAAACCTACTCAAACATTGTGTTAATATTTCTGTGCAGGATGCTTAATCTTTGTAGTTGGAGTGGCATTCCCCAAGCTGTTGGTATTAATGTGTCACTTTCTACTTACTTTACTAAAGGTTGGAAAGTCATAAGGGATTGTGTTTCAAAATTCATATTGCWTGTGGAATATCTAATGGAAATCATTGTATAGTTTATTTTAAAATTGATTTTATAACATTTTTGAATAGGTAATAAAGGTAACACTTTATGTTGAAGATACCACTGGCTCATGAGAACCTGGCTAGTTCCAACAGTTGTCTGTATTCCCAGATATTTCTTTTTTTCCCCACAGACCTTAAACAATACACATTCAAGGAGTATTAAGGGCAGCCACATGACTTACTCTGAGTTTGAACTTTCCTACTTTCTGGAAGCAGCTCTGCAGAGTGCCTATGTGACTCAGTTAAAGAAAGGGTAAGTGGATGCAGATATTAATAAAAATAGATAATATTGCATATTTTGTTTCAGAACAGATGAAGACTAACTTTTTCTTGTGTTCTGTTGTGACTTTTGGCTGCTGGCTCACCTCAAATCTCCTCAGTGTCCTTCACTTTCTCCTGTTTCTCAAATGTCTCTCTGTCTTGCTTAAGAGTCCTAAGCCTCATTTTTCCAAACCCACAAGTAGGGTGGGGTAGAATAATTTTCTTGTCTTGACTCAGCTCTGCTCCCTGTGGAGACAAGGGGAGCTTGGCTGTAAAGAGAAAGTGGAATTTTCATTTCACTGCTGTGTGCTTTTAAAATTTTCTGTCACAGGACCTGGTTTAGAGTTCAGCAAAGTCTTACAGGTAGTTTCTTTCATTTATTTGTATCTTTGTTTGTTTAAAATCTTAAATACCCCAGTCAATGCCCCAAATGTGTGTTTTTACTACGGAGAATGCATGGGGGAGCAGTGCTGCTCTGGGGTATTTATTACACCTCTGAAATAAGCTCCCAGTGAACTTCAAAAGGGCAAGAGGAGTTAATATCTACAAACCTACAGTGAATTTTACCTGTGGACAACCTTCTGAAGACTAGCAAAAAAGACACTGTGAATGCCCAATTCCAAAGGCCATTGATGAAGACACACTGTTCCCTAAACCAGGCCGTATCTTCAAAACATCCTTAACTCTGGTTATCCAATGGTGAGATTTTGTTGTGTAGGAGAGTCTTTCCATCATATGTAAATAGTACTTGTAAGAGCCTATCCTTCCTTAGTCCTGTTCTTGCTCTATATTACCCCATTTATTCTCAAGGAATCAGGTACTGAGTTTCTCAGTATCTTCACAAGTGTGTAATTTTGGCTTTTTTTYCCTTTACCCCCAGTCAAAGATATTTTCTCTCATTTTCTTCACTTCTTTTYCTGCTGAGCAAAATGGAGAAGAAAGCAAAAAAATGAGAGAAGATTAAAAAGAAAAAAACTAGGAAAAAAAATCCAGTGAAAATCAGTTTAAATTTTTCTGTAGAAAATTGATATATTTTTTTTCATTCTGCTGGAGGAGGGTTGCTTCTTGTTTAGCRCTTTTTTGCTACCTTTTTAATCCCCCAAAGATGACTTAATGTGCAACCATGAATAGCCCATGTTTTCCATGCATGTAGAATGAAGCTATCCCTGTAAGCCATCCATGAGAGGTACTTTTATTTTAACTTGGAGTCTTACAAAAACACCAAGCTCAAGCRTGGTAAAATGACCCCTTTAGTCAGTCAAGTACAAGTTTATGCATAAAGTAAAGTATGGACTTTTAAAGCATAGTCTCAGGATCAGCTTGGTATGCGGTTTTCCCAGGTGAGCTGGGGGTTGGCCAGCTGTGGCACAGTGTGTGTTTTCCTGCCGTTCTCATGACAAACAAAAAGCTCAGGTCTTGCCAGTAAGCTCATTAACTATGTAGTAAAATAAAAACCCATTTAGAACATATGGTGCTGATGTCCTCTAGGCACCTTTTGAATATCAAACTCATGTTCATTTTATTCAGCAACGTTGTAAATTCAGTGTTTATCAGTGATTAGTTCAATATATCTGGTGGGTTGTTTTGGCTGTTACTGTGGGCCCTGCCGGCTCCTCTCCCATGTTATTTTAACAATGGCTTTAAAAACAAATTGTGAACCAAAACAAACCACAAAAAAAAAACCCTAAAGGAAAACAATTTGAAGTAAAGTACATGTGTAAATAAAGCAGTGCTTTGATTACAAGATGAATGGCTGCAATAGCAGCAAAATGTTCTCTGTAGCTGTTTCCTGATGAAAGAGCAATGGAGCTCCTGTGGCTGGGATGGGAGTGGAATCCTGCTTCTTACCTCCTGCAGTGCAAGTGGGAAACATCAGCCAGGGTTGGAAGGTTCAGTGGATAAAAAGAGCCTGGTGGGATGTGACAACTTGGCCACCCTCGCAGCTGATACTAATGTGTGGTTTCTGCCACGAGAGGGCATAAGCAGCATTGGGATATATTGAGGAAAGGGGAGGAGTGTGGGAAGAAGCTTTTTAGGATGCTTTATGAGTATGATAGATTACTCCACCTGATACTGAACAGCTCAAAGAAGTGCTTTTTTTTTTCCTTATTGCTTGTAGCATTTTCAGGTAGGAAATAAGCCTTGGATGATGACTGCTCAAGCTGTCAGGGGCTAGATTCTATCTGGTGGGATGTCCTTTCCCAGTGTTACATATGTACAAAAGGAGTAGTAAATGCTTTATTCTTGTCTCAGCAGACCGAAGAGCTGAGGGGTACGAGTGCTGTTGTTATTCTTTTGTTCCTGCTGGCAGAATCAGATGTGCTCTTCAGGGAGTATAGTCAGGGTTGCCCTTTTCTCTTGCAGTGAGCAGTGGAAAGAAGGCACCAGTATGAAAGAAAGGTACAGTCTCCCCTTCAGGTGTTGAACTGCCAGCTGTAAGGACCAARCAAGTCTTGCAGCTGTAGAAGTCACAGATGCTTTTAATAAGATGCTTCTTAAAAACAGTGTGTTGCTGAAGACTCATTTCCTGCAGTTGTTTGCCCTGCTGCAACCCAAGAAAGCTTTCTTTTATTCCTCTAGTGAGTAATGTTGATGCTGTGGATGCAGAACACAGGAAAGCAGATGYTGTCATTACTGTAAAAGGCAGCCAGTTGTCTTCATGTTGGCATCCRCACTAGGTTTTGGGTTTTAGTGGGTTTGTTTGTTTTGGGTTTTTTTCTGATGCAGATGTATGAATATTAGGCTCATTTCTTACTGGCTGTTCTTTAGGTGCATATTGTGTCTGTGCATGAACAGCTGTTTTAGGAGAGCGTATGGTTTGTTAGAAACCTGGGTGATGTGGAAGATGCAGAAGGGGGTGGGCAGAGGCAGTGGTGTTGCTGCTGTTTCTGTGCTTCGAGGACTGCTCTGCACTGGAGAGGTGCAGACTGTCAACTGCCATGCAATTATCACAAGATGGTCTGTTCTATCTGTCAGCAACTAATTGTTTTAGCAGTAAATGAGTGAGGATAAGGACATGATCTGCTGGTGACCATGTTGAGGGACTGTCTTTGCAGACCTCTGTGTCCACAGTCCACTCTTTTATTGCTAATATTTTCCCCAGCAATTTGCATTGAAAACAGTATATTTGTTTACTTTCTTGTGTCTTAAAATTTTATGTCGTGTTAGCCAAACTATATGACATAACTCTGATATGACTGCTTTGGTTCATAGACTGTAATTAATCTGTATTAACAGGGTATGTGTATAAATAAAACATATGCCAAGGTGGGCCGACTGGACTCTCTGGTTGCTTTTGCCACAGTTTGTGCCCATGATTGTCTGTGTTCATCTTTATTAGATTAGTTGTAATTGAATCCTAAACTGCACTTTGTCATGTTTTTTTCAAATGACACACTCTGGCCACTTCTGTGGCTAAAACCAAGGCAGTTTAACAGTCACGTGCTTTTCCCTTCCTGTTTTTCCTCCTTCCTTTTTCTGGCATGTTGGCAGTACAATAGGGGCCTAGGGACTCTTCCAACTCATTTCATTTCCATGATCTGATGTTCACTTATGGTGCCATGGCTTGAGGCAACATTACCTGGGATTTCAAGGTAGTCCTCTATCCAAGTTCTGCAGAGGATCAAGATTGTTTAGTTTCTGCTCTAAGTAAGATCAAGTGGTTTCACCATGGATTGCCAGAGGCTTTATGTCTGCATCCTCATCCACTCTCTGCATAGCAGGTATTTCTGTTCAAATACGTACTTTTTGTTAACTTCTTCAGGTTCTAATTTAAAAAAAATCCCTTCAAGTGCATGTTTAGTATATAAATGGCAGATGTTAATGGAACTGTGAGTTCCTTATTTTAATGAGCAGAGCAATTCATATGCTCGCAATGTGTGCTCAGATGGTCTYGTGGCTTGGAACAGTAAAGTGGAAAGACAAACTCCTGTAGGGAGGTGTGTTTGCAGAATRCTGGCAGGTGTGCTCTCTCTCCTGCCATGACTCAGTAATGCTTGATGAAGTTCAAAATACAAAAGCTGCCAAACCAAATTCTCAGTCCTGTAGAACTGGTATTGTTGAGAGCTCAGAGTATGGAGTGGGTGCTCTTTGATAGATCCTGACCTCACAGGCACCTGTCTGGGAGGTGATGAGTGCTGGATGCTCCTCCTGTGCCGCCCATTTTGCACTTGTGTTAAAGGTGCTCCTAAGTATTTGTCATGTGCTTCATGGTTCCAACCCTGACTGCTGACAGATGGGCAGCAATTTGCCATTTATTCTTTAATTCACTTCAATGTCTGTTCCTTGTTTTTCTTCTCCCTCCTGCCCTAGAGCAAGGTGTTTATGCCAGGCGACTTAACTTGTTTTATGGCCTTGTCTAAGATGTGGAACTGTAATGGTGCTCTAGTTCTCTGGAAACAAAATGGTCTCCTTTTGTAATACTCTGTAGTTTTTAATTCTCTTAACTATGTGCCAAATTGAAATTAATTGGCTTTGCAAGTGATCACTAGTCTTCTTTCTGATGCTGATTAATGCAATTCATTTACACTTTATTAAGACAAATATCGTAGTGCTAGCAAGAAGTCTAAACATGTGCATTTTTGAAAATGCTGTAGAACTGTTACATTCCGTGACTCTTATGTCCAGCTTCTTAAGGAGCCCACAAAAAATGCTGGTAGTTTTCAGTAATCCAGGAGAGCAGTTGGGCAGGTGAATTTTGTTCCAATGGGGGAATTTATTAATTTTTCCTATCTGATAATAAATACCATGTAAACAGTTCCCTTGGGTTTAGTCACTGCTTGTGTATGAGGTCCAGAACTGCATCTTTGTGGATATATTCTGTTCTAGACCCACTGAAAAGCATCTGGTGTCTTGGCCCTGTCATTGGAGAGCTTGCTGAAACATTTTAAGTCCAACTTACAAAAACTTCTATGTGCTATTTTTTTTTCTTGATAAACTCAAAACACATCTTTTACTTGGAAGAAGGTGGAAGGAAAAAAGAGAGCATCAGTCTTTTTTTCCAGGGGCAAGTCTTCAGTGTTTTTGCTTGTCTTACTTTCTTGCTTGTCTGTTCATTGCCCATTATTAGATAGTCTACAGATTACCTCACAATTTAAAACTGAGATGGGTATTGCTTGGAAGTAAGGCCATGTGTATTTGCCTTCTGTGACATGGTTACCACTGGCTTTAGGGTGGCATTTTATGTAGTCATTATTCATGCTAAACATGATCACATTTTTATTCCCCTGCCCCCAAAATAATTACTTTTTTTCTTACCGTCATCAAATGTTTGCTGTTAATTCTGGAGTGCAGGAAGGTTTGCAGTGTATGAAAGCAGGCACAAATGCAGTCTGTGCTGCTTACCTTCAAAATTTAATCAGTTCGACAGAAAAGATTGTCATGGCTTTGTATTTTTAAATGAAATTTAGCTTTCATCTGCACAGAAAATTCTCCTGAATAAGCTGAAGTAGCAGTTAATGTACCAGTACAACTGCTTATTTTGTTGTCTTGTATAACATTGCCCCTTTTCTGATAGCTTGTATGGGTAGATTTGACCCTGCAGTGAAATGTGTGGTGAATCATTTTGCAGTTGCTGTGGTGGTGGGGCCATGTCCTTAACTTTGAACAGCTGATAGGCTGCCAGTGTGTTAGCTAATATGGCCAGTGTGTTAACTAATATGTCCAGTGTTTAATCTTTCCTCTCTGCATCTCTCTAAGTGCACAGACACATGATTGAGATACCATTTGGCAAATGGTCAGCTTTAATTGCTCATGGTGTATGCAGAGTAATGTGGTTTTTTTTATTTTTTTTTTTTTAGCCTAACCCTCTTATTGCAGGTTAAGCTGTGCTTGCAGATAGTTATTGCAACTTAGCTGCCTGATAACAAACTGTTTAAACCACTGTAATTTCATCATGTGCCTGGACCATCAGACACAGGGCGTTTAAGCACCACCTAAAAGAAATCGTCATTTAAAAGCATCACGTAAGCTCAATATAATTCAAACAAGTACAATCTGTGTGAATGAAGAGATGTGGATGCTTCTAAGAAGCAGCATCTGCTTTATAAATATGAGCTATGAAAGGCTTCCAAATGTCCCCTCTGTTCATCAAATGTGAATGTATCTTCTCTTAGGAAGCCATCTGGAGTAGGCAATGCTACAGTCKCTGCCTTGCTCTGTGCCATTGTCCTGTCTGTGCCTCAGAGTGACTTGTCTCGCTACTGCACTTCCAGTGTTACTAGTTGTTTCATGGTTTGCTTGGATGTCAAGTTTGTTGCTGAGCTTTGGCACATTGTGAAAATACTCTGTCTCCAGTGTGGTGATTTTGGGTTTTTTCCTTTTTTTTTTTTTGTCTTTCCCATAGAAATATTGTGAAAGGAATGAGGAGTCTGCGAGAAGTACTACGGACTGTGGAAACAAAAGCTACTCAGACCTTCAAAATGGTAAGGGAATGGGAGATGGGAGGGTGGAGCAGTCTGGTATGCAGGAATTCTCTTGATTGACCAGTGCAGTAGCACAAAAATATATTTATCCTCAATCGATTGCTTGCTCTTTTTTTTGTTTCTTTTCTTCCCCCCTGTTTTTAACTTTTGGAAGTGATACATCAAGTGATCCCCTTAATTCAAAGACCTGCCCAATTGAAACCTCCAAGCTTTCAGACCTGGGCATGTAGGTTACTTTTGTTGGATTTGGATTTTGGTTTTTGTTTGTTTGATGGTTTTGTTTTTCTGTTTTGAGTGCATTTTCTAGCCCTAGTAAAAACAGAGATGTATTTAGCTTGACAGTGCTTTCCTCAGGTGATGYTGTCTTGTTTTCTTTCTGAATTTCAGTGTGCATGCACATCTTTCTGCATTTGCATGTAGAAGCATTAAGTACTTCTGTCTCTTGTAACAACCAGTGTTTTTTCAGACTGACACCCTTCAGTGTTCTCTCTGTATAACACTCCTCAATACAGTCCAGAGTGATTTTAATTGTTTGATTTATTTTTTTTTTTGGTGTTGGCATTCTACATCTTTGCATCCTTTTATCCTGAATGTCTCTGGTAAAGAAATATTTATGTGCTTGTTTAACTTCTTAGACCTTTAATTGGTTCTTCCCTCCCTCCCCTTGAAAAGATCTTGTCCTAAAGTTACTCAGGAGGTGACAAGGTCAACAGAATGGGGAGTAGCAGTCTTGGGAATGAAAGCTCTGCAACCCTGAAAGCATTGATACTCTTACAGCAAAACTTGTGCTTGGTTTRTCTTTGTGTTTTGTGTCATTGCAGAGAAGTTGGGCAGGAGAGGTGGGCATGGGTTTGCATCSTGTTTGTGAGAATACAAATGCATGTTAAGCTTGTGTAGTGAATTAGAAGAGATGACTTAAATAATTGTTCACTCAAATGGTTRCATCCTTTTTCAGAGTGAGATCAGGGTTCAGCAGTATTTGTGTGYTCTGTTTTACCATTTTGCAGAAATGAGTCTAACCATCTGCTGTTCCTGTATTGTGACAGAACGTGGCTCAATTGCTCCTGTCCTTATGCAACTGTGGACAGCTGTACAACACCCCTGAGGGATTTATCCCTTAGGGGAACTCTCAAGGTGTTCATTCAATAGCTTTTCCTGGGATTTCCAAGTTGCATTTTCATTTTCTTATTTATTTTTAAAGAGYCATCAAGAGGGCAGAAGAAGGAATGTGCTTAATTAAACAAGTTTTTCAAGCATGAAAGTAAAACACACAGTTTTTTTCCCCTAATTTGTGGGATCACAGTGTTCCTCAAGTATAATGATGCTTTTTTTAGTCAACGGCAGTAATAATATAAATCAAAGTCTTGGCCTGTTCTGGTTTGTTTGGTCTTATTCAAAACAAGAGTGAAACTAATTTACACAGCTACTGTACTGTATGTTAAAATTAAAGACACTAGAAGTATTTGGTGCTTGCCTTTTGARTGGCTTACCACAAACTGTATTCCTACTTCTGTGTGAACCAGCAGAGATCTTTCTGTTGCTGGCGTGTTATTTTCCCTCCCCTCTAAGACTGTAGGAAAAAAATACAGGAGAGTTGACTCCTCAGGGTAGAACTGACTAAATAATTACACACTGAGACAATAAAATGATACTGGCTAATGTCACAGGGCTCTAGGCCTTTTGACTCATAGTTACTTGCTATGAAAAGCATAGAAAAGCCTTGTTAGAAACAGACGGCTTTCTGTAACTTGTCAGTAGGGGGGACATGGAAGGTCTTGGGGTTTCSAGGGAGCTGTACGTGATGATATTTGAGACACCATCATACACTCAGATCACTGCCATCTATGAAGCCTTCCTTTATGATGTTTAAAAATCAGTGCACACTACTGTGGTTGCRTTTTGGACTAATCCAGTGAATTCATTTGTGGTGAGGTGGATGAAAATCAAGAGCCTTGCATCAAAACAAGTTGTTCTTCTGTAACTGACTATAGGAACTTTAACCTCAGTGTGGTTTATTTAATCCCATAGATGTTGATGTATGACATCTATATRCCTGTCCTGGTCATTCACAGAAAATCACTCTTGGTGGTCTCATAACACATCTTAAAATATAAATTTCATATAAAATACATACCAGTAGTCAGAGAAGTTGCAAAATACTGTTTACAAGTATTAGCACATAAGGGCTGAAGTTTCAGCCTGCCCTCTGTTTTGTGCATTATTTATTTTACAGCTTTGAGTGGTGTGCTRCTTAGAATTCACAGAAGGCACCACTTAGTTTGATGTCTCTGAACTTGTTTGTATGCTCATCTATTTACAGTGCAAGAAATTAAGATTTGATGGGTGTCAGACAAGGGCAAACACCAAAGATAGTTTTGCTAAGTGAAGTTAACTTGCCTCCTTTTGGGCCCAGTTTGCCAGTGGTGCATATGAAGTGGAMAGCAGGTATTTAATGATCTTTGGCCTCTTGATGGTAAAAAAAGTGCATGTGATGTTGCTGTCTCAATATAAAGTTCCTAAGCATCTTTTCTCCTCCCTCCTTTACTGCAACAGGAAGAGAGAAGCAGTACCAAGATGAAACCGTAAAAGTCTACAGGGAAGGGTGATATTAATAGATGAAAGGTTGATCTTTTAAATCTAAGACAAAAGTCACCTCTGGTCCTGAGACTTGCATACAAAATTCTGAGGCTGAGAACGCAGTGTAGCATCATCATACTCTGATATAGTAACTMTTGTGAGATTGTCTCAGCAATCCATGTGGCAATCAGTTGTCTTTGTTTGCTAAAGCATCCCTTGCTGTCAGGCCCTTTTGATACTTTTTTCCCTAAAGCGTTGCAACAAGATCATGTTAATACAGAAATCTGGTCTTATCTGAAGAGGGAAGAAACTGACACTTTTGTAGACCTTAGCAGCTGTTTTTTCTTCTCCAGCTTTCTGAAAAATGGTACTGTCATGCTGGTACATCTCMTTCACAAGATGGAACATAGGGAGGGGTGAATCTTTTGTGTTGGAGAAGGYTTCACTGATGTGTGTCTTTTTCTGTACTGTTTACTGATCTCTAGACTGCAGCCAAACAGTTAGCCCAGGTCCTTCTCCATTCCCTCAGTGAAGACTGTTACTGGAGCCCTTTATCTGATCCGCTTCCTGAGTTCATGGACAAGGAATATCAGTCTTAYGTTAGCAATCTTCTTTGTCGGAGGCCTGAGCTGTACTCAGAAGAGAAGTAAGTGTTCATTTTTATATCGGTTTATTGGAAGGAGGAAGGAGTGTGTTTGAACATTTGTCTATACTGCAAATTAAGCCACTGATTCATGTATAGTTTTGTGTCTTCTTGTTTTTCAACTTTCAGTCTGCTGGAAAAATGAAACCTAAAACGTTGAGTGATTTTTTTTTTTTTTTGCCCCAGGAAGAAGAAAATCCAGCCAAAGGGTTGTCTTTGCTATGAAATTGAAGTAATCTATTTATGGTTCAGTRTTGCTCATCTAAGATATATTGCTGAGCTTTTAATTGTGTGAACCTGCAAAGAAAGTATTGCCTAGCAAATGAATTATGCATTGCATGTTTCAAGTTACCTCTTCTCTTGTGAAATGAGAAAGAGGCTGACAGGRTAACTCTTGATCTTCCTCAGAAAAATGTATTCTGTCTTTCAGTGTGTACTGCCCTCAAGACAACGTAGAAGAGGCTCTTCTCCTCCTCTTAATCAGTGAATCCATGGTAAGCCAAAAATGAGTTTGTAGTATTAATAGTGCAATGGGATATCTAGTATTTCTGTGTCTCCTGGTTGGTTTTGTTTACTGAATCATCCCTAGATAAACAGAAGCAAGAATTCAGATGCTGAGTGGAAAATGCCATCTATTCTTTTAYTAGTGACACCACTTTTATTGAATGGAGTATCAGTGAAGAGTTTTGGGAATTGTCAAGAAGTGACTGCATTCACCATAGCTGCATGCAGATTCTAACATCCAGATATATTGTCAGTAGACAGATGTTTCCATTCAGAATGTCTGTGTGGATTTATGGATCAAGAATGAGAAGAAGAGAGCCTTGCCTAAAGCCAGACGTGATGGTGGTTCCTGCTGTTTGGAATTGCAGGATACAATATTCTGCTTTCATGCCTTCGTCTGCAGTCCTTGGCTGTTTCAGTCCGGCGTGATCTTTGACAGTTTGCAGCGTAGATGCAGTAATACAGGGAATCYTGTGACATGCAGAAACATTCATAATAAGCTACAGTGTAGATTTCTTCTATGTATAACATTGTTGGCTTTAAAAAATCCATTTGAGACAGGCAAAAAATTGGAGGAAAAATAACTGCATGGTAACCTTTGATAATTTTCATGTTTTGAGAAAATGCACCCATACAGGAAATGTGTAAGTAATGTTTTCTGAAAATGTGTAAGGAATGTGTATTTTTCTCTAAATACAGGATAGTCACTTTTATCTCAAAGTGAGATTTCAAAACCTTGGAGCRTCAGTGACCCTCCTAGAAACTTGTAAATAACTTTCAGACAAGGTGAAAATAGATACTTTTTGTATTTTTCATTCTTTAGTGTTTTTTCGTCTGGTTCTTCTGGCTCAAGTCCTTCCTCTTTCCCACAAACTTCTTCAGAACAGGGCAATTTAATGTTGTCTTTTAAAATGCTTTTAAAATTTGGGGAAAAAATAGGGAGGTGGAACCACTCCAAAATATTAAATTGACTTCAAAATTGTGTACATCTGAGTGTTACTATGTGCTTTTCAGTGCTTTCTAAATTAAATCTCTGTAGYACATCTGCTTTATGTTTTCAAGGGCTTTTCATCATTGAAAGTGGAGACTGCAGGAGTGAGGGCTGGTAGAATATCATGTGCCYTTCTGTTAAAATCAGAAGGACTCATATCAGTGTGGCTTGTCAGGACTGTTCCAGGCAGGAGGAGGATGGGGGTCTGGAGCAGTGACTACTGGCTGCTCTGGCCTTTCTGGAGCGAGGCCTTGTGGAATCTTGAACTCCCCAATCTTGTTCTGCTGAGGAGGTGAAAGTTATCCCTGTCCAATAGTGTGTAAAATGGTGAGCTAACTGGTCATGTAGCTAAGTTACGGATGAAGTAGTGAGAAAATGCTGTTGATAGAAAGTGGGCTGCTGTGCAGACTTCACTGCTGTGCTGACTTCAAGGTTAAATAAGTAAGCTTGTGTATGCTTAAATGCTGCCTCCAGTACATAAGAACTTCCTGGAGGAAGATTCAAGGATTTGTAATCTGCTATATATCAAACAAATACTAGAAGATCCTGTAGCAGAGCAGTGCAGGAGCCATGTGATTGTATTTGTGACTTCGGGGAGATGGAACATCTGAGCCTGCATCTTGCATCAACCTTGTTATAACTAAAATTCAGGACAAGTGTATGGAAATACAGTTAGGAACCACATGAATGTGCTTCCCAAGTGAAGGAATAGAGGGAGCAGTTGAATTCTTATATATGCTTGCAATCCATAAATACTTTCATGTAGATTTTTTATTTTGGTACTTAGAAGGGGAAATTCTGTTTAACTTATGACATGATGTGTTTTCCATAACAGCATTGCTGTAGGGTAGTGAGTTTTCTCATATACAGGTTTGTTGTTTTTTTTTAACTTTTGCTTTTTGGTTTTGTGTATTTTTTTTCTTTTAAAAAGACAACTTTCTTAACCTTATGGAATGAGTTAACAGGAAGCAGATTTCGAGTTGAGGTTCTCTCATTCCTGGAGAGAATGTCAATGGCAAGTGATAATGATATGTTTCTGTAGGCCAGTAAGCAACATAGTTGATGTTCCTGGATTTTGGCTGGATTAGACGTTCTTCCAGTATTTACAATTATGAACCCCTTTAAAACAAAACAGAAGTATGCAATTTACGTTGGCTTCTCTKACACTTGGCTCTGTCAGAGCAAAACTCGCCAGAACGGTTCTTTCCCTCTCTGATTTGTAAAGAGACAAAGAGTAGCCAGGCCAGGACAGCAGGACTGCAAAGCCAAACAGCTTCTTCACATGCCTGTTCCTGATTTCTACCACTCCAAAATGACCTTGAAGGGGAACAAAATTAGGGGAAGGAGGGACAGAAAAAATTGTCAGCCTGTTGAGGGGACACAGAGTAAAGATGTAGTGGGGAGGAGCATAAATTATCAGAGAACCTCAAAGTAAATATGTGCTGAAAAGGGGACACGATAGCTTTTTCAAGAGATAACACCTGGAACACCTTTGCTGCTGAAATTCACTTTTTATGTTTGACTTGCCTTCCTAAGGTGAAGCTGAGATCTACTTTGCCAGGATCTGTGTGATTCCTAAGATGTTAGGAGGGATTAGAACTGTTCCTGTAAGGGGCAAAGGAAGACATTGAGAGAGGGTTCCTGAGAACCAGACCCTATTTCTCACCAAACCTTCTCTGGCTCTTAATGGTGGAGGGTTCTGGCCTGTGATTATCCATTTCCCTTGCATTGCAAGGGAGCCAGTTTGCCTATTCTGGTGGGATGAAAGATGAAATGAAGATATATTCTAAAGGGGCAGTTAAGTGTTCCTTCAATATTTCACTCACTCTGCCTTTGGGCCTAAGTATGTAAAAGGTTTTCTAATGGCCAAATAACATGGTATCCTCTTTCATGGCTCTGAAGATGCTTCTGTGGATGTATTAACACTGAGGTGAAATCTTCTAGCCTGTTTTGCCCTGGCATTTTCCCGGGTTGCCTCCCATGTTCTTTATGTCCTCTTAAAAATGAGAGCCTATTTTCATAAGCTAAGGCATCTCAGTAAACAATTAAAAGAATCCTGGTTGTTGAGCTTGGCAAATGTTCTTTCCCTGTGCCAGCTGTTATTTAGTCACAGCCTTTGGCTGAAGAGTTCTCGTGAAGGAATCCAGTGAAACAAATCAGGCAGCCTGAAGATTGCCACAGTCAAGGCTGTCTTTATGGGAGTTCGTGGCCTCCTGACTACTCTGTCATTCTTTTTGTAAAGCCTAAGTTGTGGTTTGATGGGCTGTGTTTCTGAGAGAAGGAAAATGCTCTCCTTCAGACAAAGAAGGCCAGCTGGTGACAGCCTTTACAAGATCAGGCTGTAGCAGAATGATGTGTTCTTATCACATGTTGGAHAAAAATGGACTAGCCTATTTTTAAACCACTAGTCCTCTTTCTTGCTGTATTTAACCCATSTAAACCAGTGACACTGTTTGTGAGGAGAACTGAGGACATATTGTGACTTGTTGCAGGGTGATTTTTCTGCATCACCTACCAACAGGAGCAGCACTGGTTCCACTGTCAGGTGCTTTGGTGCTTTGAGCTGCAGGGTGTAGACAGGAGGTTTGGCATGACTAACCCTTAGCTGCAGTTTTKTTTATTTGAATAGCCATTCTCAAGAGTGTTTAGAATTGACTGTGTTGTCCTTAAAGTTAGCCAGAAGCTTCTCAGAGCCAGGAATGGAACACTTTGTATTACTTCTTGTGTTTACTTTTGAGGTTAAAAAAAAAAAAGAAAAATATATTTGTTTGCATTCAGAAACYTTCCCTTCTTGAACTGAGGTCCAGCATATAGTCTGAAAACCCTTTATTCAGTGCTGACAGTGTTGGCTCTTAAAACTGGGAATGTGGTCCACCAAACATACCAGGTGACATGGTTTATTTTTTTTGGCTCTGTATTCACTCATACTGGAAATGAAGCTCCTTCTATCCAAAACTAATAAATTCTGTGCCTGTGTAACAAAGATTAGAAATGTCATCCCCATCTTATCTCTGATTTGAATCCCTAAAGGCGATTTGACCTTGGAGGGCCTGAGAGCAAGGAACAGATGGTGAGGGGGAAGTAAGATATTGGGACTTGTCCTGTTCTTTTTACTGGTGAGAACAAACTCATGGCTGTGAGCATGCCTTCAACAGAATAACATTAAACCCATGTATTTTTAAGCACAGAAATAAATAAAACCTGTTAGCTCTACAGTTCCTAGTTTTATAAAATAATGCTGTCCAACAAATGGTTTGGTGAAGAAGAATCTCTTTTTGCYTTTGTAGGTTGKTTTTTCTTTTTTTCTTTTTATTTTTAAATGGCACCAAGCCCAGTGATGATACAACAGCTGGATGACCATCATGACTATTCTGCTGAGGACTGTTGGACTACAGTAGCTGAAGGAGACAGCTGGGGATGGGGTTGTCTGCTCCTCGGTTCCTGCCAAATCACGGTTGTCCACTTAAAATAGCAAATCTGACTCTCTCTGTAACCAGCTTGTGAGGCAGAGATGGACTGCAGGAAGTTTCTAGTGAAATACACTAACTCTGTTAATTACCTCTTGAATAAATAGTTCTGATGTGAGTTGCTGGAGAACAGGGTTTGAGAGCTTTTTTTCTTCTACTTTGAGGTAGTAAGTCTTGTTTCCAAACTTGCAAGGGTGATGTACATTTTTGGAAGATAGCTTTCTAAATTTAGATAACTGGTTGCAAATACATGACTTTGTTACCCAAGGCAGATCTGTAAACAAACTTCCTTACTTTCTGCTTCTCTCTCTTCCTTTTGTGTGGGGTTGTTTGGCAGTTTTGGATGGCAGTGTTGTTTTCAGTGATGTTTCCAGAATTAGCTCTGCTATAGTACAAGGTGTTAGTATACACCTGAAACATATATCTAGATGATAATATTTGATAAGCAATTATAATGGGATAATGGTGAGCTGTTTTGATGAGACATCTGAATTGGGCTCCAGTAACTTGGTGTTGCTTATCACAAGTGAGGCACATACCATGTGGTTCACAGGGGTATAAATTATCATTTGCTGTGCTTCTGGTCTGAAGTGGAATCAGTTGAGGTATCTCTGTGAAAGGAGTTTTGTGAGTTCCTGGGGTGTTATTTGTCCTCCCTGTTCTACCTACTTGCCAATTTCAAGCAGCTTTGCAGTCAACCCTGGATCTTTTCTTTGCATATGTTAGCTATGCATATGTTACCTGAGGGAAACCTTCAGGTGCTGTGTAGGAGATGATCAATAACTTAGACAAAAAGTCTGTATCCTCTTCCATTGAACGGGTTCTTGCCATTGTGAAGAGCTCATTCATTTTGTTGGCAGTACAGGCAAAACAGCCAGAAGGGAGACCCAAAGGATATGGGCTAAATATTTCGCAGCTCTTAGCAGTAAAGGCATCAATTGCATGATTTCAAAGGCCTGTTGTCAATCTTACATGCACAGCATTTGTTTTTCGCTCTTAATGGTAGTATTGAATCACACCAATTACATTATTACAGTACACTGTGTAAAACATGCTGCCGTTCTGTATAGATGGGTTGCAGTGGATCTGGCAATTATGTCTATTATGAAAAGACACAAGTTGAACATTCGAATGCCCATGAATTAGGGGCAGGCAGCAGGCACTCATTAAAGATTTTAATTGCTTCCTTTTTCTTCTTTGGGAAAAAACCAGGGGAAGCCATGTTTCAAAGTGAGCAATTAAAGGATACTTCATAGCTAATTGCTGTGAGAAGGGGGCTGCTACATGGAATATACTCTATGGTAATTCATATGATTGCTTGACGTTTTATTAAGAAGCACATCTTTGTACTGAGGTAAAATTTAATTTTCTGCAGCGTAACTGTGTGCGTAATAACGGCTGAAGTAATGGCTGTTTGGATTTGCTGTGGCTCTTTACTTTTCTTCCTGAAATAAACAAGCCATAAATAAGCGTGGTTGATGTACAGCAAATCGGTTGTGGATGAGGGCTTATGTAGTTTGCAGRTAAGTGTGCTTGTATGTGGATAGGAAGGTCCAAGCTGTGTGTGGCTCAATGTTGGGGGTGCTCAGAAAGTCAGAGCAGTTCCCTGCTGTCTGAGCCAGTGGGGGTCTGCAAGTCCAGTAGTGTGGCACTGCTGCCTTTGGAGCCAGACCTGAAAAGCCCTGCTGACCCTCAGGTTCCATGCCCTGCCGGGTTCAGAGGCACCACAATGGGGTCAGCTTAGGGCTACCAGCCTGGGCTGGAGCCTCTTGGCATGTGTGGCCTGCAGATGGGCTGTGCCACTGGGCTGTGGAAAGGAAGGKCTGAACATACTCAGGGTCTTAAGTCAGGGCTGACTATAAAATGCATCGAATCTCCCTAAACAGGATTGGTCCATGTCTGAGCCACCTACATGGATAGCTAATTGTGCCTAATGCATCCCAAATTATGCAAATGTGGTGCAGATCTGGGTAGCTCAATTACTTTGGAGCTACTTCAAGTAAAGGGGCATTGACTGTGTATTTTTGCCTTTATAATGCAAGTTATGCTAATTCCCAGTGGTGAAACTTGTGTTGGTAGCACTGGTGACCTTCTCCATCCCACAAAACAGCCTTGAACAGAGCTGCTCTYGATGGTGTGACTCATCATCTCTTTCCATCCTGCTTGTGTGCTGTGAGGMATATCTGTGTGACAATGGGAACAGCTTAAAGGGAATAGTCATGGTGGGGGTGTTGAAAATGTATTTGTAGCTATGTTTTACTGCTGCTTATAGTGGAGGAGGAGGAAATAATGCAGTAGGACAAATTGAAATTGCTGCATATGTTACTGATACACTGCTTGAGACCAGTGGGGTACAAATAACTTTTTTTTCCARTTGTTCTCAGAAAAAATTAGTGGTCTGAAACAACAGAAACACAGGTATTGAAAAAAAGTTGGTGTTAATAGCTTAGAATTTTTTCATTCTCAAATGCAAACTGAAGTGTCCACCTGTGTACATTTCACTAGGTAAAATTCCCCATCCCACAGAATGGGTGTATTCTTTGTTGCAGTAACTSTGTGATGGTTTTGCACCTGTACTTGCCAGTGAGTGTCAGGATTTCTCAGTGACAAACCAATATTTATGAAAACATAAACAAAGGCAAAGGGAAAAAATGGTAATGATTATCTGGGTGACAGCAGCCTGAGTTCTTTGAGAGGCAGGCCACAGAAACATGCCAGTTTCCTGAGTGCATTTCAGGAAGTGGTGATTCACATTCCCTTCTCTGCCCTCTGCATTTAATGCTGCAGTAATATCTTGAGCCTTAGGATGGTGATTTACCTTACTGTGTTAGACACAATCCATAAGCTTGCTACTGTCCAGTCAGCTTCTTATGAGGTTTGAACCTTTTGGTTTGGGGATTTGTGGGGTTTTTATGTCTTTGCAATAGTGTGGGCTCTTGATTTTTTTTTTTAGAGCAGCTGGAATTAGCAATTGAGAATAGGTTCAGTATTGAAGAAATAGTTGTGATAGAAGTGGCAATGAATTTCCTAGTAGCAACTTTTATGCATGCAAGCATAGAGTGGTAGGTTGCAAGACGTTCTATGGCTTTGAGATTTGAAAGCTTGAACAAAATCAGCAGATTTACAACCTTCTTGGAAAGAATATTCATCATGCCTATGCATATGTTGCATTTAACTGCTGTCCACTTGGGTAAAGTATGATATGTACAGTATATTCAGAATGACTGCAATTTTAGAACATTGCATCCTTGTAGTATGTCCTAGATTCCTGTTTTTGCAGGACTGGGCATGTTCTTCCTTCTAGTACCAATAAATGTGGCAAAGCTTTGTGGACAGTCATAAGTTTTGATTAATTTTCTATCTCTGCTAATGCATCCACTTAAAAATCATATCTTGGTATTAGATGGATACCCAAAAAAGCGTCAGAGTCTGGCTGACTCTAATGGGAGGTTGATGATGAGATTACAGAGCACAGGGGTGCCATCTCAGTAGCTGTTTGCTACCAACAATTGTCATAACAATGTAACCGGTGCAGAAAAAACTGTTAATGCTGTTGTATATGTGTAGGAGGATTTCCTTGGCAATAAGGATCATATGCCTTTAACTCATTTTTTCCTTTTAAAGTAGCAGTCTTAAATCCAAACAGAGCTTAAACTTCTATTTTTTTTTAAATTCTTATTTATTTCTTCTAATAAAGGTGGACAATCTATGCGTCTGTACTCTGGCTGCAGAATTTTTCAAGTTGGTTTCATTCTCTTGGAATCTGTTGTTCTGGACTATTTTTTTWATCACAAATTACATCTTTTGCAGTAGCATGAGAAAGAAAAATACTTTTGTGGCTGCAGGAGTTGGTGTAAGTTTATTTGTGTAAACACTAGACTGGGTCTGATCTGTCAGCTTGCCTTTAACTGCAGTCACCATTTAGCTCTTGGTTGAGATTGTGTTAGTTGTCAGTAATTGTGTTTGCAGTCTTGGCTGGAGGCTGTGATGAAGAGTGCTTGGAACTGGGGCATTACACAGATAAAATCATGATGAAACAGCTGCAGCTTAATCACAATGAAATATGCGTGGGCTTTAAGGGCTGCATATTCTGGAAATTTTTATTACACTTAATTCCCATGTTTAACCTTTTTAGGGGAAAAAAAATCTCCCCACAATTAAAAAGAAATAGATGTAAGATTACAGTAGTATTATAAAATAAATCTCATAACCTTCTTGTTTCAAGGACAGAACATTTTGTTTGCCTTTGCTCGAGGTGAAATTGCTGGCAATTTTCTTAATTTTTCTGATCTTTTAGATGTCTAGACCTGAGTGTTTGATGTTGCACTCCTTTCAGCTGAGGAGCCCAGGGCAGCGTGTCTGTGCTATCAGGCAGTGCTTGGGCTCAGTGGCAATCCAGCACTGCCTCTCCCAGAGGCTGGGCAATCTGGGTGAGGTCCTCTGTGTTTGGAAATGAGAGGGACTTTTCCATTTACTCTGGAATTGTAATATTCTTCTTTGTACTCAGAAAAACACTCAGAAAAGATCTGAGGTAAATCTGAGTCTGTGGGATGTGGTATTTTGGAATATCCTTGGAAATTGCTGAACTGATCGTTTTCTTCAAAAGTAATGTTTCTTCCTGATCTAGGCCCAGCAATGCACTGGTAGGTTAGCAAAATTAAGACATATTTTATGTATTTAAAAAAAACACTTGGTATTGCATTGCCCAAACCTTTAATGCCTTTGATGACAGGCAAATCTGATTACTTATGCAACCTGCTCAAATTAAAAAATAAAAGGTGAGTAGCAGAAAAGAACAACAAAAATGGATGCTATTGTGAAGAAATCTAATGTAGGCATAGAAGATAAATTATTGAGTATGGAAGCAGTTATCGCAGTTGCAGGCAATTGAAGTAATAAGGAAGATGGTTTAAGGATGGCCTTGAATTTCTAATTATTGAGGAAATAAGGAAGATGGTTTAAGGATGGCCTTGAATTTCTAATTATTGAGGAAATGGGATCTGGTAGGTCTGTTTCATAATGCTCTAATGCTGTGACACAAATCCAGATGAGGTATTTGTAGCAGTTCCGTTCTGTAATRCAGCTGTCTTCTTGAGTTTGCTTCATCTGAATAGAAAGCATCTCTGTKGAAACACCTTCCTTACATTGTAATAAACTTTAAAAAGAAAAATACCTYGACATGATTTGAGACAAAATGCTTTGAATGATGGGTGTAGCTTCCTATGGGAGGAGTCAGTTCTCTTTTGCTCTCTTGGTTTCTGATGYTTTGCTTGTGTCTGCGCAGGCGAACCGGGACGCAGTGATCAGCCGAGCCCCAGACCAGCAGGATGACCGAGCCGTCAGCCTTCAGGATGCCTCTGCAGTTTATGACCTCCTGAGCATCACACTGGGCAGAAGAGGGCAGTATGTGATGCTGTCTGAGGTACCTCCTCTGGCCTCTGCTGAAACTGCCCCTYCAAACACACTGGCAAAGCCACTCTTTGCAGTGCCTTGCTGGGGAAGAAGAAAATGGAGTGTGCTAGATAGCAATTTAGCAGAAACAGCTACAGAACTATGGTAGCACAGGCCAGAAGTGCACACAGAATTGTTTGAGACATTAACATAATTTTTATCTAGGCACTGGAACAAAGTGGCTGCCTTTTGAAGTGATGTTGCTTTTGAAGTGACGATAGCAAGTCTCATTAACTGAGAGGTGTAAATGGTGTGATTAAAAAAAAAAAATCACCTGGGTCTGGCGATTGTTTCCTGACCCAAACAGCAGTCTTGACAAAAGGTATAAGGAGGAAAATGAATGAAGTTTGTTGTTTCTKCCATCGTTTCTTTCTTAGTGCTTGGAGAGAGCCATGAAGTTTGCATTTGATGAATTTCACCTCTGGTACCAGCTTGCCCTGTCCATGGTAGCTTGTGGAAAGGTAAGGTTCAAACCAAAGGACTTAGGGCGTGTTTTCCTCTGAAGAGTGTGAAGAGTGTAATCTAGATTAGTTGTTTGAATGTGTAGGGTCATGTGTTTTGTGGGAGTAGGTGCCATCAGGCAGCTCTGTGAAAGGACAGGGTTGTCCTTTCAGTCTCTGCGCTTTGTGATCGGGGCATGCGTTCGAYATTGAGTACTGTTCTTTCTGTGTAGTGGTTTTTTTATCATTGTCAAGGAGGAAAATGGGGATTGTGCCTAGCTATGGGTTGAAAAGCATTTTGCAGCTGTCCACTCTCTGTAGGTTCAACATAAATGTGCTTAGTATAAGAAAGAACTGGTGTCTAAAACTGCCATCAACTCACTCTGTGTCTCTGGGCAGTAGACTTAAACTGTGGTTTCTCCATCTGATCAAGGAAATGTTAATATTTTTTCATAGAGAACTTGTCTTAATATTTTTAAAGTGCTTGGTGCAAAATRTGCTTTAGAAAAGGAAACAATGTGGATGTTGGCATGGACATGTGTTTTAGCATAAGTTTTTTTTTTAAATTAGTGTGGTATTTGTGAAAGTCATCAGTAAGCCACTGAGATGGCTGAAGTGTGGTTGTGAAAGGTAGGCAAAGGTAGCGGGAGCTTTTCTTTCTTTGTCTYAGAAGCATGGACTTCCTGTAGGAAATGTAGATGGTACAAAATTTAGCCTGGTAATTCTGGAGTCCCCACTTGCACTTTGATGCTGTACAGTGGTAGACCACTCAATATGGTCTTATACTGTGTGCCCATGGGGAGTACAGGAATCCATGTGGACCTGAGTGGGGACCACCAACTAGCACTCATCTGCCAAATTACAGCTACTACTGACCTTTCATGTCTGTAAGCTGAGCTGGAAACTGTGGCCTTGCCATAGAAATAGGAGATGAATCTATGGCTTTGCAAAGAARTTGTCTTATGTGTAATAAGTGGATGCAAAGCTTAGAATATACCTGAAGGGATTCCTTCACTTCCATGAGCGTAGGCAAGGCCTTCTCTTGGAAGACTGTCTGATATTAAGCCTTCYACTTCCAAAAAACTGGCAGAACAACAAGAAAAAGTCTGTTAAAGAGCATCAAATGTGACTAAGGGTACAGTAAGCAATACTGTGGAATGACTGAAATGATTTTTTTTACCTTGAAGGGGAGGGTAAAAAGTCTAGGAGAGACAAGTCTTTATGAGATCTTAAAAGGAAGGGTTAATCTTGTCCATGGTGGTTAGGATAAGTGATTGCATCCAGTTGCAACAACACAAGTTCATGTTTCTTATTAAGAGGCAAAAAACCAAGGGTAATGGAACACTGGGAAAAAAGTGCCTGTGGAGAKTTGTGGGGCCTTAATCACTGGGGATCTGTGGAATGCCCTAGGCAAATATGTGGTGACCTCTCTTGAGGTACCAGGGGTGTCCTCTGTGAGACCTGAGACTCTGACTCTGTTCTGGGACTCCATCATTATCTGCTTTTTAAATAACAGATCTGGCTGGTTTATGAGATACCAAAGCATTGGCAATGCATATTAGATTAGCAGGAAGCTGAACAGAGATCTTTAGTCACAACGAGCCTCACAGATCACTACAGAAGTTTAGTGCAAGCATTTCAAAATCCCGTTCCAATCTTGAAAAAATGGCTAGACTGAATCATGTATAAGGAAACCTGAAGCTACTGGTGGTATRCTTAAACAATGAGCTTGGTGCCATGGTGTTCATACCTTGCCCTGACCTRTGTCAGGTGAGGGGCTTGCATGTCATGTCTACTTACCTTGGAGTTCAGCTGGAGTTAGCACAGCCCTGCCCTCCATGCTTTTGCAAATCCTTCAGGTACTTCGTCCCTTGATCCTACAACTACATAGGACATGATAGAAAGGCACAGAAYCTTACCATGAATATGGGGCTTGTCTAGAAGGTTTATTGACTTTACAAGTTGTGTAACCTGGTTCTCAACAGCAGACAATGCTGTAGCTCTAGTAATCTGCTAGAGGGCAAATCAAGATTTTTAACTGCTGGTGGTTAAGTATAAGTGTATCTGGAGAATAATTGTGCTTCAGTCTCAGGTTAGTATGGAGAAGTGGGGCCTGGTCTTTAGCTTCTGACAACAAGCATGACAGCTCTGTTCTTGTCGTTCTATGTTTGCATGCCTCTTCATCTTCTCTATATGTTACAGAATAATGGGTACTTAGATACTCGGGTAGCTCTTTTTTTTTTTAAATCTCTGTAACTCTCCTATCTTTCYATATTTTCAAGTGCAGCATGTCTTTTTGCCTGTACTTTAAATATTTACAAGGTAAAATGTCCTAATCTTTCCTGTTGATGCAAGAGCGCGAAATGTTCTGAGCCCTATATGGGTCAGAGGGAATTCCCTTACCCAACAATCCCATCTGTGCAGTATTTCACTTCTAATCCCAAAGTATTCCCTGAGGATTCCTGTCATATACTCTGCAATGCGTCATCCTGTAATGGGAGATGTGGCATACATTTTTATATTGCTTGGCAGCTTGATAGCCGGACAGAGTTCATTTAAAAGCAAGTGCTSCAGTGTGGCAGAAAGGACTGATGAGAAAACAGTGTGGTCAGTCTAGACTGCAGAATGCACAGTACACTTGAGCTTTTATAGGTAAAGATCTATTTTCACCTGTCTCAGTCACAGCCAATTCATGATCTCATTTCTTGGTAATGAAACCTCACATCCTGCAGCATTACTTGTTCTGCAGTACAGCAAATTGTGCTCATAAATCCTGGGCATGACAGGAACAGTTTTATCAACCTGTAAATGCTGGAAACGTTGGTTTCTCTTTTTTTTTTTTTAAACATGTTTTTAGGATTTTCAACTCTGACCTTAGAAGTGCCATAAAATCCTATCTTGCCTTCTATTCCACACTGTATTTGACTAGTGGTACGTTTAATTGGTATATTCAGATTAAGTCAATCAAGTCGAATTTCAATGTAGTTTCTTCCTCTGCCAGCCAAAAAATTGCCAAATGATGATTGTCATTTTTCACAAGTGATCAGTCTGAATGTCAAGCCAGCCACCTTGGCTCATTACCGCATGTAGGCTTGAGTTTACACATTATTCTGAAAAGCATGTGTCTTAACAAAAATAGGCACATCACTTCAGTAAGTTCCTCCWGGCCTTGGGGCTTCCTAAAACAGTGAATGAAAAATTCAGAGAAGCATAACCTTCCTATCTGTCTTTTATCCACTTAAGTGATGGAAATTAKGGAGTGACAGCAATTTCACTTTCCTGTGTTTCTCAGCAACTTGCATGGTGAGAAAGATGATGTGGTTTGTTTGTTTTTTAACCCCTTCTTAGGAATGCCTGTTATACTGAGCTGTATAATCCCTGAAYGGGACAGCCATGTTTATCTAAATGACAAAAATCTCAAATACTTTTGTAGGCAAATTTAGGTGAAATTGAGGGAAGTCTAGACAATGGCAAAGACATGGTGGGAGATGTCCTGTGTCCCCAGGTGCAGTTCTGAACAGGCCAAAGAGGTTKAAATCATTGTATTGCAGCATCCTGTTCCTGTGGTGCTGACTGCTGAATTCTTCACAGATGCTTTAAGTTGCTTCTGCTGGTAATAACGTTGGCTATGTGGTAATATCAGCTGGAGGCTGAGTGGGCACCACAGCTCCCTGGCTCTGCTGCYGTGTGTGGACAGGCTGGAGCCTGAGTGGCGAGCGGTGTGATAGCCGGATGCCATCTGGCACAGTCCTCGGGCAGTGAGAGGAGACACTGTCCGGCTGCCAGAGTGAAACGCATGCAGACAGTTGCATCTGCTTGTCTCAAGATTTTGAAAAAGTGACCAGTATTGAACACCATGGGGAAAGGAAGGACCAAACTCTCTTTTACAGAGTGCAAAAGACTTTGTAGTCTTTGCAGCAGTGAGGAGAGAGTTGCTTGGGGTAGACTTGCTCTCTGCTGCTGCTTTCAGCTAAACAGTTTTCCCTGGAGGCCGTGGAGGTTACCAACACACACCTCTCCTGCAGATGAGGGTAACTCTGTGACATTTCTGAAATTGGAGGCAAAATTATCGTAGTGTCTAGATGATGTATTACAAGCACAAGGGATRTGTAATAGGGTCCTTGTGCACTCACAGGCATTTCCTTGGCCTTGAACCAGCTGGATCAGTTACATGTTCCTTTTTCAGATTTCTGTCCCCTTCCACACCTACTGTCYTCACACAGGATCTAGTCTGGGCATCCAGAGTGTCACTGGAGCTCTCTGGGAGTAGAGACTCAGAAGTGTGTTGTGAGTAGGGTCTAGCTTAAATTTATGGTACTTAGAAAGTATTCTAGATCTGCATTGTGAGTATTAAAATATATACCTTAACAACATGAAGCAACATCGGTGCCTGTCCACTACCTACCACACAAGGAGACAAAATTTGTGTTTAGTGACYCTGATTTGCCATTTTCCTGTGGCTAGTGAGGGAGGGGTTCTTCAAGGATAGCTGTGAAATTATTCTGTGAACRTTGAGTCTATGTAGTCTAAAAGTGCTGGGTACCCTATTGGGCCATTCAGCTCTCWTGAGTCGTAATCTCTAAAGTACAGATGCTTATTGTTCTTAGTGTATGCAATGCATGGAAACATATTCACACTAATGTTCAGCATCCCTGCATGAAAAAAACACCACAAGACAACTTGGATGAGCTTTAAGATGCGGGTTTCTTGAGAAGAGGGGTGAGTAGTGATATAGTCTTAGGCCAGCTACAGGAAGTCTGGAGTAGCTGCTAGGAGAGGATAATCTGCTTTTACCCCTCAGCTTTTTACTCATTGAGGGGATGAAGTGCCTAAGAGGAAGTAAAGGAAGAGTTTGGGAATGATTGAAGGGTGTGTGGGGAAAAGCCTCAGTTGAGAGCTCAGTGGAGCTGGAAGGAGGCAACTGGAGGCAAGGACTGTGCTCAGCCGGCCTTGTACTGGGATTGCTCATGGTGGTTATGTGTTCCTGTGGTGCCTGGTGCARTGCACTCCAGCCCTGCAGA